GAGGGGAGGGCAGGGGAGGGGAGGGGAGGGGAAAGGAGAAGAGAAGAAAGTCGGAGAAGCAAAAAATAGTTCCCTGATGGGGTGAATCCATCACAGACATGAGGACTGTGGGAAGCAGAGTTAGGAAAAAGCCAGTCTAGCATAGAAAAATGATTTAGATGTAATTGCCCAGAGATTGCACTAAAGCTGAATAAATAAATTGATAGGCCTCTGTGGGGTGGTAAGCTATGGGAGACAGCCGGGCACCTGGTTGAATGAGCTTTGAACCCCAGAGAACCCCCTGGGACAGAAGGCATTCAACTCTTCCTGGACCCCTGGCTCTCTCAACTTCAGCCCTCCACAGCTCCTCCCACAGAGAGTTCTATGGCCACCGGTCAAATAGGAGTAGCACCCCCACATGCAGATGAGGCACCCCCAAGCTCTGAGACCAAGTCAATAGGGGTTACCTGCTGCCCACCTCAAACTGTATATATTTAGTCTAACTCAGCAGTAAAGTGCATGCGAGATTCATCCAGTTTTCTGAGAGCTTCTGTTGTGGATCCTCCCCTCTTCACCGGCCAGCCAGTGCCTCACTGGGGCACTTCAAAGAGCTGTAACGCTTTTCAAAGAGCATAACACTTTTTCCCTCTTTACCTTGGAGAGCAGTCGGAGGCAGCAGAGGCAACAACAAGACTCTCCCTGTCTGCACTCCATCCCTCTGGACCTCTGGCAGGCAGAGGCAGCGGCTGTTCACACCCTGTCCTCAGCCAAGCCGGAGATTCTTGTGGGACCCCATCTGGAGCCGGTCCCACAGGCCTCGGTCTCCATTATTGAGGGTATGGCGAACTAATAGAATTATTAAATATCCAACAACAATCACCCAAGAGCTAGAAAGGTCCCACATGTCATATGGTTTCTGCAAGGGTTGATTTCATTGTCAATTTAACTTGACTTGATATTAGAGACTAAAGGAAATCATCTGGTATTTTTGCCATCACATTTCAAAAGATTAACTGAGAAAGGAAGACTTGTTATGAATACAGGTGGCAGCATCCCATGAACTGGGTTCTGAAAGAAATAAATAGAGGTGCACATGTGAAAGACACCGGAAACAAGCTCACCACTCCACGGGGCAGCTGACAGACTGAAGAAACCCAGAGAAATAAAACTGGAAATAAAAAAATAGGAAGTCAAATCAAACCTCAGAGGTAAGCCTCCCCAACAGAATACAAGACACCAAAAAGAGAATTTCAGGTGTTGAAGACAAAGTTAAAAAAAAAATCTTAGTCAAAACAAGATTTTGAATCTAAAAGTAGTCCAATCTGAGACATTGTGAAAAACCAAATGTACAAAATATAGGAAGAGAAAAAATGAATCCCAAGTCAAAGGACAAAAATTTTCTAAACTAAAAAAGGAGATCACTATCAAGATACAAGATGTATGTAGAACACTAAAAAGACAGGACCAGAATATAAATCCCCTACAACACATAATAATCACACTAAAATTAAAATACAAAGAAAGAATATTAAAAGGTGCAAGGACAAAAGACCACCTACATATAAAGAAGCCCAAAAAGCAAGCAAGAATAATAATTTTAATATATGACAAAACAGACCTTAAACCAAAACTAGTTAAAAGAAATAAGAAAGGATCCTTTATATCCATCAAAGGAATAATCCACCAAGAGGGTGTTATAATACTAAACATTTATACCAAATACAAGGGCACTCAATTTCATAAAAGAAGCACTACTACAGCTAAAATCTCATAATGTGGTAGTCTCACAAAGTGGTAAATAGGTCATGTAGACAAAATCTAAAAGAAATGCTAAAATTAAATGTCATATCAAATGGATTTGCCACATATAAACAGAACATTTTACCCAATCACAAGAGAATATACCTTTTCTCACCATCTCATGAAACTTTCTCCAAAACTTAGCATATACTTTGTCACAAAGCACACTGCAACAGATATAAGAAAACTGAAATAGCACCCTGTCTCCTATCTGACCATCTTGGATTTAGCTGAATATGAAGAACAACAAAAACTGCCGGGTGGTGGTGGCGCACGCCTTTAATCCCAGCACTTGGGAGGCAGAGGCAGGCAGATTTCTGAGTTTGAGGCCAGCCTGGTCTACAGAGTGAGTTCCAGGACAGCCAGGACTACACAGAGAAAACCTGTCTCGAAAAAAAATTAAAAAACATAAAACAAACAAACAAACAAACCAAAAGAACAACAAAAACAACAGAAAGCTTACAAACTCATGGTCACTGAACAATTTACTACTGATTGGGGAAAAAATGAATCATAACAGAAATCAAGAAGGAAACTAAAATAAACTTTTTAGAATTGAATGAAAATAAAAACACAGCAGATCAAACCTATAGAACACAATGAAAGCAGTTCTAAGAGGCAAGCACATAGCATTAAGATGCTACATCAGAAATTTGGAAATATCTCCTATTAGTGACTAAAAGATATGTTTGAAACTCTAGAAGCAGAAGAAATAACTCCAAAAATGTAGATGGAAAAATGCTCAGTCTTGGAGCTGAAATCAGTGAGATAGAAAAACAAACAAACAAAATGCATGTAGCTTATATCAATGGAATAAGTAGTGTTCTTTGAGAAAATTATTAATATTTACCCAAACTTAGCCAAATTTACTAAAAAATTGAGAGAGAAATCTTAATTAATACAATTAGAAATAAAAAGAGAAACATTACAACACAGTGAGGAAATTCATAGATTCATAAAGACATACTTTAAAAACCTGTACTGCACTAAACTGGAAAACTTAAAAGAAATGGATGAATTTCTTGATGTATAGAACCTACCAAAGTTAAATTAAGATCAAATAAGCAATTTGAACAGACTCATAACCCCAAGTGAAATAGAAACAGTAATTAAAATCTGACAACCAAAGTAGCCCAGGGCCAGTTGAATTCAACAAGGATTCATACCAGACCTTCAAAGAGGAATTAATAGCAACACTTTCAAATTAGTTTGCAAAACAGAAGCTGAGAAAACATTTTCTAACTCTCTTTATGAAGCCACTATTCCTCTGATACTAAATCACATAAAAATGCAACAAAAATAAAAATTTATAGACTAATATCCTTTATATATGTGAAATTCCTCAGCAAACATTTGCACACCCAATCTAAAAACAATATAAAAAATATTATACCCTGTGTATCCCACAGATGCAAGGATGGTTCAATATATATATACATTAATAAATGAAATCAACCTCATAAACAGCCTAAAAGAAAATAACCATATGACTATCTCACTAGACAAAGTCCTTTGACAAAATCCAACACCCCTTCATAATAAAAGTCATGGAGAGATTAGGAATGCAAAGGACACACTTAAACATAATAAAGGCAGTTTATAGCAGGCCCATAGGCAACATCAACTTAATGAAGAGAAACTCAAAGCAATTTCACTAAAATTATGAAAAAGACACGGATGTCCACTTTTCCCATACTTATTTAACATAGTATTTGGAACCTAAGGCAAAAAGACAGATGAAAGAGATTGGAGGGATGCAAATAGTAAAAGAATAAGTCAAAGTAACTTTATCTGAAGATATTTTAGATATAAAAAAATCAAAGTACACTAAGAAACTTCTACAGCTGATGAACACTTTCAGCAATGTATCAGTATACAAAATTAACACATACAAAATTAGTACCCTTCCTGTATACAAATGACAGACTGAGAAAGAAAAAAAACAGTACCCATCAGAATAATCCAAAAAGGATATCTTGGGATAAGTCTAACCAAGAAAGTCAAAGACTTAGATAATAAACCTTTAAAGCATTGAAGAAAGAAATTGAAAAGCACATCAGAAGATGAGAGATTTTTGTGGAGATGGCCATCTAGTCAAATGCAGTTTACAAATTTAATTCAAATGCCATGATAATTCGACCACAATTCTTCACAGAAACTGGAAAAAAAAAGCAGCCTCATAAGGAAGCACACACACACACACACATACACAGGTAACTTTTAAAAATCCCAAATAATTAAAAAAAAAATGCTGGAAGCACCAGGTTTCAAGTGGTATCTCAAAGCTATAGTAA